ATGCATAGTGGCTCATGCCTGTATAATCTTAGTGCTTTAGAAGGCTGAGGTGGGAAGATGGTGTGAGGCAAGGAGTTTGAGACCACTGTGCAATATAGTGAGCACTTGCCTCCACATAGAGTAAAAATAAAAAGATTAGCCAGGCACGGTGGTGCATGACTGTAGTCCTAACTACTTGGAAGGCTAAGGCAGGAGGATAGCTTGAGCCTAGCAGTTTGAGGGTATAGTGAGCTATGATCTCACCACTGCACTCCAGCTTGGGCAACAGAGCAAGACCCCGTCTTTAAAGAAAAAAAAATACATTTTGAAAAAATTCAATATTATTTTTGGTGCTCCTCTGTCCAAAAACCTTCTCTGCTTTTGTATTACCTACTGTATTGATGTAAACAATTATTTCCTGATTTCTAAAACCTTGTACAAATCAATAGACAAATTTGTGAGTATCCATTTCAGTAAGCAATGTTAAGAGTACCATGGTTTAAGACAATGTCATTTTCAAAGGATTTAGTTTTGCTGAGAAATACAAGCATGAGAAACTATTAAATAAATGAGACTGTTTTCAAGTATGCAAACAAGTTATGAAATGGTGCTCTAGAAAAACTGAAGAGATCTGTATAGACTAGCGTCGTTGAGAGATTAGGGAGAGGCATGGATCCACACTGTGAAAGGTGGACAGTGTTGCTGGAAGATAATTAAGCAATAATAGACAGAATTTAGAAACCACTTAGTAAGCAGGAACATATATACTCTTGTCCTTCAAGTTGTTTTCCCTTGATAAATCTGTACTGAAGTCTTTGCTGTCCTTTCCAGAGGTCATGTTAATTCATTTCACTACCTCTGTCCCGCTTTAGTCCCCATTTTGAATGTTCTCCCTTCTGCTTTTCCTAACTTTGTCCAAGTTTTGGGCTGAAGTTGTCATCCAGGAAGACTTTCTGACTACTCAAGCACATGTTAATCTTCCCCTCTTGTAGCATTTTTGATATGTGATATCCAAATTATTAGTGAATTACATGATACCTGGTATTGTTTCCTATGTGTTAAACTATTTTGTAGCTTTATGTAACTCTTGAGAATGAGGACACCATGATTTGTGTAACCAATGATGTAAGGTATTTTTACCAAAACACTCAATTAAATATTTGTTGAGTCTATTTTTGATAATACAAATAATGCAACAATCATAGTAGCATTTATCTCAGCAGACATATTTTTCTGTGTAATTACATAATATATGTACTCATATAATATATATACAACTTTTTTTTTTTTTTGAGTTGGAGTCTCACTCCATTGCCCAGGTTAGAGTGCCGTGGCTTGCTCATGGCCACCCTAGCATTGACCTACTGGGCTCCAGAGATCCTTCCGACTTAGCAGCCTTCCAAGTAGACTGAACTACAGGCGCGCGCTACCACATCCAGCTAATTTTTTGATTTATTGTATTTTTTTTTTTTTTGAGTTGGAGTCTCACTCTGTGGCCCAGACTGGAGTGCAGTGGCCGCTCCCGGCCACCGCAGCCTTGACTTGCTGGGCTCCGGTGATCCTTCTGCCTCAGCCCTCCGAGTAGCCAGAATTATAGGCGCGTGCTACCATGCCCGGCTGATTTTTTGATTTATTGTAGAGATGAGGTCTCGTCAAGTTGCCCAGATGGGTCTCAAACCCGCGGGCTGAGGCAATTCACTCACCTCGGCATCCCAAAGTGCTGGGCTTACAGGCTGAGCCACCGAGCCCGGCTTGTTTTGTGGTTTTTAAAAAT